CATAGAGGACGCAGTGTCTCGTTCCCTACTCAGGGAACCATGGTTACATAAGTAACCTGAGACGTTTTCAGCGTGAACGCTGCGACAGAACACACAAAACACATCTAAAACGAGAAAGAGCTTTGCGATTGACTGTAAATAAAGAGATTTGACAAGAAATCTGAGCTATATTTTTACAGACTGCTGAAAGCTACAGAAAAGAGAAGCAAATGAATCGCTGCAATTCACAGAAACAAATGGACTGCAGCAAAACACGGATTTGCAGTTATCATTTCATGTTAATATGTTGAATTTTGCGGTAAAATCATACCCTATATATTGTTTTATACTATAGTGTATTGACAAATCGTCAATAAAATATTTACCATCTTAAATTCTGCATAACTGGAAGTTTTTAAATAAACACTGACAAAAACTATACAAGTTTTTGGGCTGGACGATATATATACATAACATTGATATAAGTGATCACCCAGATTTAGACCAACCTATTTTGTATTTACAAAATGCATTCACGGGCAGATTTGCTTTATTTATTTCCCCGGTGTCAAAATCAGGCACAGATGTCAGGAAACACGATTCCTGGCTGCATATCAATATCTATGGACACTGGATATTTGGTAAGTTATAAGGAACACTATTTCGAGTCCAGCAGCCTTTAGTTTAAACTGATCATCGTTTGTTTTATTCGCGTTTTCACAACTTCCCTATTAAATCCATTCATGCGGCAGGCTCTTTTGCCACTCAGTCCGGCTGAGGGGACGTGTTGTTCCGGTGGGAAAGTGACGGCAATGCATACCCTCTGTACAAGATGTACATTCATATCCTACCCATAATTCCATTTTTATGACTCCAAAGCCTGATATATTATTTTGTTAATATTCAACAGTGTAAACTGTCTCTCCAGTTACATTTCTGTTGTAGAGCATATTGTTTCACATACTGAAATTATCAGTTAGTTCAACACAGTCCTTTCAGCTTGTGGCGAGAAAATGAATAGCCCATGGAAATATTCAATAATACAAGTCACTGGGACAAATCTCTCAGTAACAGAAGTCAATGGCATAAATACACCCCCATTATCTTTACTGGAGGAATAAAGATTTTTCTCCACCCTCACTCAGAAAGCAATAATCAAAATGATGTGCACCACTTGCCAAGAAATCCATACAAACTCATTCTCCCCTTGTTTCACAGATGTGGCAGTAAAAGCAAAAAAAGCATATGTTTTCTTAGCAGCAACAGAAGCAGAATAAGAAAATGACACTTTTGAGCTTTAATTGGGTTTCATGAAAAAAAAAGACACCCAAAGGCTGGGAGTTAGCATCCCTCGAAATGCATAATAATTCTGCTGTTGTTTTTATTCATCCATAAAATTGATATTACTACCAGATCAGTCATTTACAGGGTGCTTTAGGGATGAATGAGCATTTGGCAGGAGGCAGCGTTTCCTAAAGTGATGTCTATATCCGGTTTACCCAACCCACTGATGTTGATCTTTTACTCTTCCATATATGTTGCTGCAGTATTTTCAGCCCATTCTACCACTCCACATCCTGTCAGTATGAATGACAACATCTTCACTTGTCACCTTGACACTCTTGCACTAAATACATAGCTTTAGACTGCCAGCTATTCATAAAGCTGTCCATGTAGAGAACATCAATCTTCAATGCATGGCTCACACTGCATGCTGTGAAGTGGATGTTTCCAGGAGGTCACTTTAGGCTGAAGAGCTCTCGGTTTCATCCTTGTAAAGACATTGAATTGAGTGTGAGTGATGAATGAATCTGAATGATTCACATCAAAGATCATGCGTTTGACACTGACAAAACTACAAAACACTACAAAAAAAAAAGTCAGATTTTGTGGTTTATAAACTTAAAAAACAAGAATGCTATATTTAAACAAAAAAAAATTGTTTTTGATGGTGTGTCATCTAAACATCAACATCTGTGATTTGATTTATTCCATCTGATGTTCTGATGTTAGTTCGTCTATTTTTTGTGACTGGATGGAATTATGTATTTATTTATTACAATAAACATCACAAAGCTTCTTCTTTTTTTAAATGGGGATTCATGAGTAAATTATATAGATTGGAGAAGGGTTTTATTATTATTATTATATTTTGTAAAGTAGAAATGTAAAGTTAAACCCCCTCACAAATAGCTTAAATATGAATTCACAGTCGTCATCATAACTGCATAATAGATCTAGTCAAGAAACTGATATTTTGCACCTCTGCATCACTATTTCATAGACTTGATCGGTGTCGCGTGATAGCTGTGTGGGCGGAGTCGGCGTGGGGGAAAACAGTCCTTTCCCCTTTTCCCCTTTTGAAAAGCATGGTGTTGACTCAGAATGGCCTACATAAAATCATTTCTGCCGCTCGACAGAGCAACATACGTATAAAAACTGAGCTGAGTATCTGTGACTGGACAAACGACACAGCGGAATGGTCAGAGGTGTCGTTTCCCGAGATTTTTTGTTACCTAATTGAGCAGGAGACAGCTTGCTACAAGTCTATACCAGACGGCTTGTGAAAGTAAACATTTGTCGTTTTGTTTTGCTTAATTTTAATAAAGTGATAAAGACTTGAGTAAAAGCCTGTCGTGCTTTCTTATTGATATATTAAAACGTTTTTTAACATTAACAAAACAGGTAACATTAAGGTCCACTGAAGTGCCTTGAAATGCGCAGCGTTATTCTATGTGGTGTGTGCTGCGGCTGCCTAATCATTTTCACTATAGGCTACAATTGGTAATAAAAACGCCACACAAAAAAAATAAAAAACATGGTTAGCCTCCTATACTTTTACTATAGTAATACCATTACTATATGTAATAATAATACATTTATTATTATTTTTAATAATAAATTAATATTTCTATATTTTTTAAATAAATGTTTTAATGGATTATGACATCACAAAATATCAGGGAGTGAGATTTATTTGATTGTGATGCGAAGGAAGGGTTACTGTAAGCCCCATCACAGATGGGTTGCGGTGCAGGGGGACGGGACGAATGGCAGGTTAAGTAGTGTAGCCTATCTGAGCTATCCGCTCAGTGCTACCTCCGGTAGTCCGTCTGTTTATTAGTCATATACATCTTCAGATCAGGTTTTTTAACTTATTAGAGGTACAGAACGCCACACAGGTACTTTTCGGCATTGCACCAAGCAAAAATCAATCGAAATCATCATTTTTGTGGGCGTTCCCAGCAATTCCGAACAAAGCCTGTGTTTGCTTTTTCCAATATACACGACACACACATGCTACGTTCTTAACATGTAGCCTATATGTTCTGATAAAACAAGTGTAGTTTGGTTGAAGTAGAGAAAAAATCGGGACAATCTACAGAAATGTGACAAACCTGCACACATAGGCTATAAATCACATCTTAAATAAGCACATTTAGTAATTAAGATAATGCAGGCTGTGTATTTCAAGAAGTAATATTTTATAAGATCTTAGTGTCACATCCAATTTCGCAAGACAAATAAATGGTTTAGTCTGACTGGTTTGCTGATGTTCACTTTAAAGCGACCCATAATGCCTTTCCTCCAGTCACGTCCCACAGACAGCCGAATTTGTGCCGAACAAAGCCGAACTACGACGAAGATGAGACGAAACTCTCCGAAGCTGTATCGAACGTGTGCAGAAGCATCTGCTATGAGACCTGCAGGAAGTGCTCAGCGATCACGATAGTATTATATAAGCAAAAGATCTCAGTAGGGATTATAATGTCTTAATATATTTTAAAACGTCTCATGTCAGTAGGTATGTACAGCTAGCAGCGACAATGCATACAATAAGAGTCGTTTAATATCATGCTGCTAACAGTCTTGCTGTGGTAGCAGCGACATCTCCAAATCACTGCGTATAATTGTTATGTGTATTTTGTATCTATTTGCTTTCAGTTAAAGTCTTATGAGGCTGTATAATTAGATATGTGCCTTTGTAGTGCATAGAGCAATCCGCAGATGTGATCTGTTGACAAGCTATCAGCGAACATGCTAATGTTATTATTAGCCTAGCACAGTGTGCTGAAGATTTCATGAGTCTGCATGAAAATAATTGATGTTATCTATCGTGCTTATTTCCTATTAATTTAGTTTATATTTTTGTATATTATATTCTACTTTGTCAGCAGAAAACGCTGAGAGTGGGATGGAAATGAAGTAATATATGCACTGAATGATGAATGATGATTTCCTCTCATTGTTCCAGGTGTCCACTGAGCTGCCTGTAAGATGTCTATGGTGCTGTTCGCGTCTGTGGTGAGAGTGAGGGACGGTCTACCACTCTCAGCCTCCACAGACTATGAACAGGATAAAGGATTTCAGGAGACTAAGAAACATCTCAAGGGTCTGTCCAAAAAACTCAGCCAGTTTTCGGATCGCTGCTCACTCAGATCTGGCCTTTATAACATCAAGTGAGTTATCAGTGCAATGGTAATGCGGATGTGTGTGAAACTGAGTGCCTTTTTTTTTTTACACTATATTACTTGGTACAGTGTTAAACAAAATGTGTTTGCAGTGTATTACACTGGAAATGCATTTATACTTAAAGGGATTATTTTTTTTTTTTGTTAAATATGACAATGGCACTGCTGTATGCATGTTCCTTGCAAAGTAGAATATAATTTTTATTTGAAACAATTGCTGAGCTAATCAACCAAATAATACATTTTGAACCATGTTTTTTGCAACCCCCCTTATGAACTTACTTTAATTGATTAACTCTCAGACATGCGTACGTATTTCTGCCTAAAATCTCAGTGTTCCACAAGCTTCCGGTATAGTTTTCACCTTAGAAAACTATGATTGTAGCAATCACAAACAAAATGTTATATTTCTAATAGCTGTCAATCAAAACTAATTATATGTTAAATAGGGAAGCGATTGTGCATGAATACAATTCAATTTGGAGTGAAAGTATTTTGATAAATTTGCACAAAGAAAAATGTACATTCTGTCAACATTTTCTCACCCTTAAGCCTTGTACAAACCGGGACGATTATCGCCGATGTTATTTGACGCATCTTTTGTGTTCATACCCAAGCGATTTTCGCAGGCGATGAGCCGAGTGAACGTGCAAATTCACTCCCTGACATTAGATGGCGCTTCATGAAAAACAGAAATACCCCGGTACACATCGAATCCTATTTGATCTGCAATTCCTCTCCATAACAACTCCCTCTTATCGAGATTTTTGTAGTCGCTGTCGCGTTTGTCATAAAGCCCTTTGTGTTCAGACACCAATGAGACCAGCAGCTCTACATTCATCTTGCCTCGATGCATCTTCTTGGTCTACTTACTTCCTCTTTGTCGTTAGGTATCAATGTGTGCTCGGCAAGACCGTTTTGTGCTTGAGCGCCACCAAGTCGTGTTTTACTGTAACTTCAGCAGCTCCAGGCACGTGAACAAAAGCGCCAATCTCATTGGTCGGCCAGTTTTTAACGCGGCGCGTCAAACCAAAAAAACGAGCCCGAGGCGATTTTTAAAAAATGATGCTTTTACGCCTCGCGTTTTGCACGTCGGTGTGCACACTCACATTGGCGCCCTTTGTTTAGTCACGAGGCATTAAACATCGGCGATAATCACGCGCGATATTCGTCCTGGTGTGAACAAGCCTTTATGCTTATTTTTTCATACAATGAAAGCATACAGTAATGAATGTGGGCTGTCAAGCTCAAAAAAAAAAAATTATAATCCACTAATGCATCTGTTTTGGAGCTTGACAGGTTGTGGTCACTGTATATGCACTAATGGTAGCTGTAACATTCTTCAGAATATCTCATTTTGTGTTCTGTGAAACAGAATTGGAACGACTTCAGAATGACTAAATGATGACAGATTTTTCATTTTTGGGTGACCATTCCTTTAATTAAAACATCCCAGCTAAAACAAATGACACAGTAGGGTGGATTGCTCTGACTGCCAACTGTTCTGATGTAAAATTTAAAGTTCCCCTTCAGCAAGGTCTAATTCAGATGCATTACACTGAGGGACCCAGGGGTGACCATTTCATAGCCTGGCTGCTATTCATCACTGCTAACTTCACAAGCAGGCTCTGGAGTGACTCAGTGGATTGTTTCATCTCTCCAAACAGACGTTAACATGAAGAGACACACTGACAAAGTTTCTTTCCTGAGGCGAGTCACTAAACTGTCCTCAAAGGGAAAACAGAGTGTTCAAAGAGAACTCTGTGAACACACAGATCCAGGTGAACAGGTGTAAAGGCTGATTTTAAACACAATGGTTGTTGTGTTGTGGATTCTCAAGTCTTTGTAATGGACTTGCATGTTCAATGAAAGACCTTTCCCACCCTATTTGAGGCAGATGTCCTGTAAATTTTATTTAAATGAAATTGACTCTGCAAGTATGATGTAAACTATTACATGTCTTGTTTTCCATAGTTTCACAAGCTCTCTTGGAGTCGGGTACTTGATGGTTTGTACAGAAAGCTATCCCAATGTCCTGGCCTTCAGCTTCCTGGACGAGCTTCAGAGAGAGTTCATTGTCACATATGACACCAAGCGGATCAACAGCGCTTTGAGGCCTTTCTCTTTCATTGAGTTTGGTGAGTTTCTAGAGGGCGTTAGGACGGGTTTCTCTTTGTGCAGAAGGGGACTATATTTTTTATCTATTTTTAAAATGTATATTTTTAATACAATTTAATTCAACATATTTTATTTTTTTTAATTTACACCACCATTCAAAAGTTTGGGGTCGGTAGGATGTATTAATGTTTTTGAAAGAACAGTCTATATTGTGAAATATTATTATAGTTTAAAATAACAGTTTTATATTTTTAAATGTTTTAAAATGCAGTTTATTCCTGCAATGGCAAAGCTGAATTTTCAGCAGCCATTACTTCAGTGTCACATGATCCTTCAGAAGTCATTCTAATGTGATGATTTGGTGCTCAAAATACATTTCTTATTATTGTCAATTTTGCTAACAGTTGTGCTGCTTAATATTTTTGTAGAAACGGTGATACATTTTTTTTTAGGATACTTTGATGAATAGAAAGTTCATAAGAACAGCATTTAATTAAAAACAAATCTTTTGTAACATTATACATGTCTATACTATCACTTTTTTTTATATATTTATATTTATATATTAATAAAAAATAAAAAAAACTTGCTGACCCCAACCTTTCGAATAATAGTGTATACTATATTTCTATACAAGTTTAATTTTTATCGAAATATCGTTATTGCTCTTTAGCTACATGATGCCTTATGAACATGATTCATTTAGTGATGGACATCACTGAAAGTAGTAATAACTTGCAGTTCAGTGAATGATTAAGAATCTGCCAATAAGAATAAGGACAACTCAATAGAAATACATTTTCTTGCCATTATTTTGTTGTTTTTATTATCTTTTCAGTTCAGGTAATTTTAATCAGCACAGAAAAATATTTGTAATAATTAGTTCTGCTTAAATTAGTTTTACATGGGCAGTTTCGCCAACCTTAAGCATTAGTTGAATCTCTGAAGAGCATTATTTGCATGGCGAGTTTGAGTAAACATCAATGGAGTTGCATCTTATGTGGAACATTTAAATTTAGTCACTTATGAGGCTCCATTTTGGCTAGGAATCTTTGAGATTTATCTAAATAAAAAAATTAATACAAATAAAACGCAGCCTAAAGACCTTCCATTTAATGTGATTTGAAATGCACTGAAGCCATTTGTAACATATAGACCATGATGTGCTTGAAGCATTCATCTTCTGTGCCGTTTCTATGGTTTTGACAGATAACTTCATTCGGAAAACCAAGCAACGTTACAACAGCCCACGTTCCCTCTCCACCAAGATTAATCTGGCCGAAATGCAGACTGAGATCAAGCTCCGGCCTCCTTATCAGCTGTCCGCGGAGGACATTGGATCAATCAACGGCTTCTCACAACACAAGCAGTCTAAATATAAAGGCTTAGGTAGGGAACACACTGTGAACACAGCATGTATACTTGCCTTTTGTTCTCAAGAAGCAGAACATTTTGAAAGACCATGAGCACATACATGCTCAGAACAGCCAGAGAGTTTTGCACCGCAGGTTTTTTTCTGCAAATTTTAAAATCTAGTTATTTTGACACAGATTTTGTGCTTGATTTATTCCTGCAGCTCCTAATCAACTGTTGGAGGCCGTCACCCTGTCGGGTATCGTCGCCTGCGTCCTAAGTGTCCTATGCGGCGCTCTTAATTTGCTGCGGGGAGTCCACGCAATAGAAAGTGTATTGCAGGTAACTTAAATCATGTACTAATAGTAATGCTGGCACTTTATTTTGGGCTTTGTTTCTTTTATTGATTAAAACGTTGGACTAAACATTACTTTTAAATGTATAAGTACCATTGTAATATAATAAATCATAACTAATGGATAGTAACTGTACTCTTGAATAATTTGTCAGACTTTGCACTTAGGTGTAATGTGATTTTCCTTTTCCATAAACAGAACAGTTTTGCTTGGCTTTGTATATTGCACTGATAAGTGAGCACTCGAGTCCTGGCTCTAGTAATTCATCCTCTGTTTTAGCACATGGCTTCCTGTTGTAATTTGTTCACTCTTTAACACAGCACCCTGTCTTTCCTCTTTTTCTGCTTCATCTGCAGAACGAGGATGAAGACTTTAATTACGTAATTGCTTTTTTCCTTGGAACCGCGGCCTGTTTGTATCAGGTAAGTGACGACAGTCAGACCGTGAGTTACTGTCGACCTGCCAGGCTTCATTTCCTCTGCTCTCTGTCTCTGTCTGACCAACCAATGCTAATATATCACACTTTTTCTCAGTCGTGTAAAAGCAGAATCTGGAAAATTGGAGAAACAATGAGTTTTTACTAGCATCAAACAAAAGCGGCTAGTAATGTAGATAATTTTTATTAGTGGTGGGTCTTCAAAACCCTCATTCTGCACACAAAGAATAATTTTCATGGTCAGTATTTTTGTCTTCTTTCCCAGTGTAAATATTTCAACATCCTTATAACATTTACTTGAGAAGCAAAATTGATGTTAATATATTAAGACTTGTTTTCAGAACAGACACTACTGTTCAAAAGTGTGGGGCCAGTAAGATTTTTTTTTCTTTCTTTTTTTGAAAGAAACAAATACTTTTTATTCAGTAAGAAAAAAGGATGCATGTGTAAAAATGTATCACTGTTTTCAACATTAATGATAATAAGAAATGTTCTTTAACCAGATATCATATTAGAATGATTTCTTAAGGATCATGTGATGCTGAAGACTAGAGTAATAGCTGCTGAAAAAAACAGCTTTGCATCACAGGAATAAATTACATTTTAAAATAAAAAACACTTACTTTAAATTGTAATAATATTTCACAATATTACTGTTTATAATGTATTTTTCACCAAATAAATGCAGCCTTTTGTGAGCATAAGAGATGTCTTAAAAAAAAATGATACCAACCCCAAACCTTTGAATAGTAGGGCATAAACCTTACTACATTCTTTTAGATCTATTCTTAAAACAAAGCTTGTACTGAACTTTCTTCTTCCAGCTTCAAAATGTTTTCCTCGTTTCTGTTTCTATATATAGTGTTACTTGTTCGCCTACTTCTCAGTTTGGAGGAACATCAAGTCATTCCTGGCCTTTGCTATGATCTGCCTATGTAACATGTATCTGTATGAACTCCGTAACATGTGGCAGATCCTTTTTCACGTGACGGTGGGAGCGTTCATCACTCTGCAGATCCACCTGAGACAACCGCAGGGCAAATCACCTGACTACAATGTTTGACCCCCTGGAACACTTTTAAGACTACGTAACGTAGCCCAACATGGCAACCCCAACCTGTTCCCACCCCATCTAATGACAAGAACTATGGATTGTGAAGCAGGTTTTACAAAATATTTTGATATTGTTCAAGAAACACTTCCTGCTGTTTCACATCCAGTTGAGGTCACAGATGAGAAACTGGTGTTCTTGTTGATGCAAAAGGTTAATAACAGAGACTTCATAAGCGCAGAGTATTAGATTCATGCATGAAATATTGAAGGAAGCATTAGCAGATGTGCACAGTTAGGTTGTAGTTATTTTTTGTTTAATTGACATCAGGGCTTAAAGGGACAGCTCACCCAGAAATGAAAATTCTTACATCATTTCTTGAACAATGGCTTGAACATGGCTTTCCAGTGAACATGGATGGTGTACAGGGTCTTTTGAGGATTAAAAAAATAATAATAATAAATTCAGATAAAAGCATCTACTTAAAATATATAAAAAACTGCAATATTTACATACATATGCATATTTCTTTTAGCAAAACATTGTTTCAATACCAAATCAACCCTTTTTTTTTTGTAATTTGCAATGCTTCATGTACATTTGTCTTTTTGTCTGATTTTCAAATAGTTTCTTGCTTCAAATTAAAGTTTTTAATGATTAAATTCGCTGTATAACTGATTAGTTTGGTTCATAGCGTATAACTCTTAAATGACGATATTTCTTTTTAAATCCATATGGCAAAAATGAATTAAATTAATTGAAAAATACTTTTGGAAAAATTGAGCGGGCACCGTTGCACTTTAACTGTGTGTAAGAAAGTTATTATCCACTAGTTTAGTAGTTCATTAACAAACTCTTGCTTGACAGTTGTAATTATTCACATTTTATTGTGGTAAATCACAGCTTATTCATCTAAGCATTTCCTTTCATGTTCCACTGAATAAAGAAATGATTAAAACTTGTGGGTGAACTTTTCCTTTAAGATGTAATTTTAGATTTTTTTGACACATTGTATGACGATTTCTCTATTTTGATTGTTAAAGCCAACTCATATGCAAGACTTTTTATAGCTGCCTATAAAAGCAGACTTTGGTGATTTTATTTTGTTATATGCTTTCATAGATGCCTAATTTGAGTGTCACTGTGTTTGTGGTCATTAGTCAGACGTCTCTGCCCTGAAAGCATAATCAGACGTGTTATTTATCAATCGTGTCTATGCTGCCTGCAGGTGTGCTTCCTGCAAATGAATGTGGTTGGCTAAGAGAGAAATGGAATCGCACTAATAGACAGACTCTGTTTTTCCCCCCTCAGTGTTTGCTGCCTTTTGTCAACGGGTCTGTTCAGTGACCATGTTGAGTGGTATAAATGAGTTATGGTTTATTTTGTTTCTGTTCACCTGTTTTGTTTTCATTGTGCAAATGACAGGTTGAATGGATGATTGACAGATTAAGGGTCAAGGGGTTTTAAAATTCCTCAGATGATGTACGTGCATTTCTTTTTTCCCCAAGTGTCGGTGATCAAAGATTGCATCTGCGTCTTTGTATTGCAATGTACCTCAATGCTCTCTCTCCGGCAGTAGTGCACTGCCTTGCCAGTTTGTTTGTACTCAGACGAAAGGCCCTGTTTTGAAATCATCAGTAAAAAACCTTGATTTGTATGATTGTGTGCTTTTTTTTTTGCACTTCACACATTTATAAAATATTAGCAACCGAAGTAGGGATACACACAAAGTTGTAAATAAATATTACTGGAGTATGTTTTACGAGAAAATACTTCTTTAGTCTTACTACTTAAAAAGTTCATGTTTAATTCAATGTGTTTCTTGTTTCTTTGTAATTAATTGGGAAACTTCCATGCATTTTCAAAGTGAAATTTCTTTCTACACCAATGTTTTAAAGCGTAGCTGTCACTACAGTTTCTCTGTCATGCACAGTATTAATGTTTGAATATGTGCTTCTTAGTCACTGAAGTCAAATGTGTTAAGAGGCTCACCCAATTTATAAACTTGTTGCTATTCTCAAATCCGTAGAGCTGCAGTGATGATGATGATGATTGTGGTTATTAGAAGTAGTCATTTGGCTTATAGAAGCATGACTAACGAAAGTAATGTTCCAGGTGATCCAGTGAATGCTGTTGTGTAAGCGAAAATTACAGCCCATTTAGGCTTATTTGTACTTAGTGAGGGGGAAAAGTCTGTACATTTCTGATGTCTGTGAAATTATTTTTTTCCAGCTTATGTTCACTGCTGATCTCATTTTATAGTTGCATAGCACACTACAGTGAATGGAAGCCTTGAACCACAAAGTAGGGGGGGTAAATGAGGGGGAAAAAACAAGTTAAAAGTACATTTTTGTCAATTAGTTTTGTTGGGGTTTTTTTGCTGTATTTTTCAGGTTTTTCTCAATTTGTTTAAAGTGTTCTTTGAGGTATAGTTAAGGTTGATACATTTGAAAAGAAAAAAATAGAGAAAAATCAAATAAATTGAAGATCTCGGAGGGAAAAAAAACGGCAACAAAAAGTTTTAGGGAAAAATGGACAAAAGTATAAATAAATAAATCACCATGTAATTGTCCTCCTTTGTGGTTCAAGGCTTCCAGAACTGCATTATCAGGGTGAGAAATTATTTGAGTGTTTCTTTCTTTGATTTTTATGACATTGTGCTTCGCCTCAGGTTTTTCTAACCTTTTGACTGCTGGATCAAACCCAAACCACTTGGCCATTAGACTATTTTTAATGTCAACGAAATGCCATTCTCACGCCCAGCACAATGGCCTTTTTTAATGCTTTATAAAACAGCTTTGTTCAGTCAAACTGACCGGATCGGACGCATGCAGAGACTAAATGCAAGTGCAATCAAACGAGGGTATTTCATGGGCACATTTTTAAGATAAAAAATGTTAGGTTTGCCAGTGGGAGAAGTGTACTGAAATTATGCGAATTTTAACATGCCTGAGCCGCTCTGTGGGGTTTCTGTTCTTAGCTCTATTTCTGGACACATTTTGTGTATGACAACCCTGATTACAGCTCAGTTTAAAAGTTTGAATAATCAAAAATTTGAAGAGACAAATGTTTAAACTGGTATACAATAACTAACCTGTCCGTACAACGAGAGCAGTAAAAGCTTTTGTACAGAAACATTGGAGGCGCAAAATGAAAGCGCACTGCTGCCACCTTCTGGATATTTAATGCAATATTCAATTTTTTATGTCGAAACCAAAACACAGCAAAGTCAAAATGCCATAAAATAGATTTGCATTTCCTGAATACCTGTATTTGGGGGTCACGTGACAAGAGTGACGCGAGAAGACTCCCCCCATTTTTTCGTGGGCTACACTCCAGGGGGTGCTGCAGCACCCCCAGCACCCCTACTTCCCGCAGTAATGGCTGTAATAATCATAACTACATGATTTCAGAGTGAGTTTACTATTATAATAGTTTATTTGGCTGTATAAAACAGCATTTAGTTTTGACATGGCAGATAAGCAAAGACAACCCAAGATGAAGCTCCACTGGAATAGTAAATGCCAGTAAGTTACTCAGCAGGTCATAATGTGGTATTTACTTGACATCTCTTACCTCAGTGCTTTCGTTTGGATAGCAAACACAAGGAAGTGAATTAAAACTGAAGAGTGTAATTTTAATGTTTAGATACTTTCTCCTCCCAGTTAAATATGCAGAGATACCTACTTGTAAACCATTCATAAACTAAATTCCGCGATGAAAGTAAAGCTGTCTCAGTGGCGCCGTCAAAACGTTAGTGTTTGAGAATCATGACCAGCCGCAACACTGGCTCAACCAATGGCGTGAACTTGGGGCGGGGCTAGATTATCGTCTGACCAATGGCGTAAAGGGTGTCCAATCCCATTTGGTGCCGCAGAAAATGCACACTTCAGTCAGTACGTTTACATGGACAACAATACTCCGAGTTTAATACGATTAAGACAATACTCTGATTAAGAATCTACCATGTAAACAGAGATTTTTTATTACCTTAATCCGGCTAAAGTAAACACTAATTGATTTAAGACATGTGGAGTATTCCTATTTTAGTCGCATTATTTAAGTGCAGTGAAGACATGTACACACCTTAATCATTATTACCGTCGTGTAGGATTTTTCACCGCATTTTGCGACAGGAGACACACACGGCAGTGGTCAACCGTTTGACGGCAAACAAAAGAATGGCTTCAACAACGCCATCGTCTGTTTGCACGTATAACATGACAAATAATTAACTGCACTTGAAGCTTTCAGTAAATTAAAAACGAAACACCCAAAACTGTATATGGCATCATAATGAAGATGAACTATATGTTTATACGTGAAATTCTGTAGGGGACGTCGGGTGGCGTCGCGTGGTGACGTAATGACGTGCGCCATTAATCGATCTATGTACTATAACATGTAAAATAAATATTATGTTATATTAAGTATAATAAACATGTAAATATTCTAAACGCAACTCATGTAAACACCTTAATAGTAATATTGTCTTATTCAGAATAAGGTAAATAATTAGACTACTGATGTCCATGTAAACGTAGTTTAACTTAGGAATTCATATGGCAACTGCGTTGACTAGCATTAAAAGACCATACACGTGCCATGATGACACTAAATACAAAAACATTCAACCAGAGGTTTTATTTTAAAAATCGCTGGCAAGAAAATGGCAGAAAATAAAGACCTAATGACTCGGGAAGCCTAGCTGGGTCCAAGTTTTGAGAAGCTAGAACAGGACCAAATATAATTGACTGTCTCATAACACGTTTCAGAAAATGCAGATTTATTTTCCAACACATTAATGTATATCATAATCCTACTTGACTGTATCTGAAATAGGTAAAGCGGGGAAAAAGTTGCTTGTACCCAGTTTGTGTACACACTCCAATTCTTACATACAAAGGCCTCATTGGAGAAAATGGACATTCACTGGGTCGTACCATCAGACTGAACTGAGAGAGAGAAGGAACTGCTGGTCGAGCTGCAGTGCAAAAATGGTGAAGATTTGTGGCATAACGGAATCATTCCTAGAGGATCCCAACTCGTTGTCCCACACACTATAAACGCAAGGCTAAAATCAATATTTGCAGATGTGTTTGCCAAGCTTTAAACGACTGTGGCTGTTCTGAAACACTCATTTCGCCTCCTGCAAATCCATTTTCTACTCATAATTACATTGTAGTGCACTTGACAGGATACAGAAACCCTTTTTGGAGAAAGGCCAAACATATTCTGCTTACTTGGTTACAAGGCTAGCTACTGATTTTATCCAAACGGATGCAGCGACAGAAAAGGGTGACTGATAATTTACACTTAAAAACCTCTCCCTCCTGTTCAAATGTGCAGGATTATAGTGTTCTATTATGTGTGTGTGTGTATGTATATATATATATATATATATATATATATATATATATGTGTGTGTGTGTG